GGAAAATACCCTCTTTTGTCATGGATGGTTACTTTGTGATTTAATACTTAAAATGAAACTTCCACAAATTACCACAAACTTCTTAAATACTAAAAATAAAAAAAAATATCTATGTTCATATAAGGATCTTGAAATGTTACTTACAGATAACATAGATAAAAAAGAAAAAAACTCCATTATTAATATATCACCTACAAATAAATATATTGACGACATGCGACTTCAAATTATTCATGGATTACTTCGATCTATTCTTGAAAGAATTGCGAATGTGGAATGGCTAAATCATCATCTTTTTTTTAAGAATTGCAATATAGATAGCTTAAAAGATCATCTTCGAACGACTCAACTCAATATATATAAAAAAGGAAATGTGTATATGTATATTAAAGATAGAAATGGAAATATAGAGAAAGAAGAAGAAGAAGAAGAAGAAGAAGAAGAAGAAGAAGAAGAAGAAGAAGAAGAAGAAGAAGAAGAAGAAGAAGAAGAAGAAGAATTGAAAGAATTGCGAATGTGGAATGGCTAAATCATCATCTTTTTTTTAAGAATTGCAATATAGATAGCTTAAAAGACCATCTTCGGACGACTCAACTCAATATAAATATAGTGTATATGTATATTAAAGATAGAAATATAGAGAAAGAAGAAGAAGAAGAAGAAGAAGAAGAAGAAGAAGAAGAAGAAGAAGAAGAAGAAGAAGAAGAAGAAGAAGAACAATGATTTTTAATCCGCCCCCTAATGTAAAAATGTCATCGCTGATAAACCAATATGTGTGGATATATTCTTGGAATATCAAGAAGCAAGAATTTTATGCATTGCCCATCCCGATGGATCGTTTGGATATAAGCGGAGAAGATGTTACTACAGGTAGATTGATTCGTCAAAATGAAGATGGTGGTTACATGCCTCCCGGTCAACCTATTAGTGTTAGCTTTGATTGTCAATCATATAATCATATTACTTTAGTGACACGAGATATTGCTAGGTTTGAAGTTGGTATGAATTTTCTTATTGAAAAGGGATTATTATACAATTACTCTTTTCTATGGGATAACGTGGGTGAAGCATCTGCTCATTTAATAATGGGTGAGGCTTCGATAGATGATTTAATTAATGAAAAATATAAAGGATATGGTGCTCGTCTTTTTTGCAAGAATGATAGTCAGTGTTTAAAATTGGTTGAATTTTTGAAATTTAATTATTATCCTTTTTACATTGAGGCTATGGGAAAATATTATAATAGTTATCAGTGTTATTTGAATTATGAGCGTCATAAAAATGAAAATTTTCAGTCAAGGGGTTTGTTTCAAATTTGTAGTAGGTATAGTTCTGGTAATAAGAAACTCTATTTATCATTCATTAGCGGCGATCAGGATCGTTATCTTCCTCCTTACATTATACGATCTTTTGATTTGGAAGCCACGCGGCATAATTTATCAGGATCCATCCCTAAGGGAGATAGCTTAAGTGATCGTTTAATTGTATCGTCATTCCAGGAAGCGACGTTAACATTCCCTAATTTCCCATCTCAATTACGGGAAGTTCATACTCGAATCATAGTATATTATCCATTTCCACCTAATGAGTTAAAACAGAAAGAAATAGAAACACAAAATAAATTAACTGAATTACTTTATCCAAAATCATCCGTAAAGGTGGATTTTTTTTTCATCCGAAAGGGAAGTAATAATGATGACTTTACAGGAATTAGCCAGACCTCGCTGTATTTTTTGTACAGGTTATAATACTGATGGTTTTGATTATCCCTTTTTATTTAATCGTTCTATTTTTTATGGATTATTACCGGATTACATTATGACTGATTATTTTACATTTCAATCTTATTGTAACTCCTCTCTGGCACCCCATTTAACACCTCCATGGATATTAAGTATTGATACTATGCTGTGTAGAAAGCGATTTTTTCCAAGCAGTAAATTTATAGAGCCTGCATCAGATAGTCTCAAAAAGCGGATACAGATCCTCATCAATGTCTACATATAAACACAACATATATCGTGCGTCGGTTTGTTATAAATAGTTGTAATTCAATTTTAACTGCCCCCATTGATTTTAATAATATACCTGCTTTTAAGAAAAGACAACACAATGGATTATGGGGAGAAATTGGTCTTGACATGACTCATAAATATGCAAGACATACATTTACGCAACAACAACATATGGATACTGGTAAAAAAAATACATACAAAGGTGCGGTTGTTTTGGATCCAATTGTGGGTGTTCATAAAAGTACTCCCACGACAAGTATTCACGTGTTAGATTTTGCATCGTTATATCCTAGTATTATTATAGATTATAATTTGTGTCGGGGTTTTGTGACTCGTATTTCCCGCGAAACATTTATGTGTTTAAATTCGCTTGAACGAGATCTTTTTAATGTACTTGAGATGGCCGAAGATCCCTATTTTATTTACCTAAGCGTGAAGGTACGCACTGACCAACCATATACCGAGTCTCCTTTTCGCCGTATATGCGAAAGTTTAATTAAAACACGTAAAATATTGAAATCTAAATCTTTAACTACTCAGGCTAATGCATGTAAGGTTATGGTTAATTCTCTTTATGGTGCCATGGCATCCCAAGGAATATTTGAAGATGCAATAGTTCCATCGATGGTAACAGGATATGGGCGCTCTCATTTAAATAAGGCGCGTAATTTCCTTGAGAGCGAGGGAGCTACAATTTTATACGGTGATACCGACTCTCTGTTTCTATCATTACCCCGTACTGTTGGTGATGGTCCATTTATAGCTTCACTCTATAATGATAATTTAAGAAAGGATAACGATAATATTCGTTATTTACAGTTGGCGTATGAAGATTCATACGGAGTTCTCGTTATGATAAGTAAGAAACGCTATATGGCTATTCAAGAAAAAGACAAACAGGATGAATGTAAAATTAGTGGATTTAAGAAAAAGATGAATGTGAGGAACCACACAGATAAAATGCAATTAATACAGAATATATTAATTCTTTTACGCGATCACAATATTAATGTATCCGAAAAAATATTAACCCTTACTGAGAAATGGTTTACTAATATAATAATGAAAAATAAAAGTGATACTGAAGAAGAAGAGAAATTTATACGCAGTATAAAGCTACGTCCCCTCCACGCTTATAAATCAACAACAAACGTTCATTATTGTTTTGGTATTTTTATAGAAACAATTCAGCCGGGTATATTGACAGCTGAAGCAGGCACACACGTGTCCTACTACAATTTGATACCTCTTATTCCATTTAAACAACTTCCCAGAAAGAGTGTTCGAATGTGTCCACTAACAAATTTCAATCCTCAGCTTCATTCAATAGACAGATCAGAGGGTATTATTTCTGATATAGGTCAGATAATTAATTGTTTAATACAGGCGATATTAATTGAATATAATATTCAAAGACAAAATAAACAAGTAAAAAGGAAAGGTGGTGATGATCTATACATAGAAGGATTAATTGAAAAATATTTAGAAGAGGAGCGGTTTCGTTTATATGAAAAATACAGGTCGATTGGTTATTATGTATATAATTTTAGCGCCTGTAAAACTTCCCTCATACCTAAAATAGATATATCTGATATCTGGCCTAGCTTTTTAGAAACTGTTTCTTTGTTAAATATTTCTAAAAATCAATGTTGGTGGAGGTCTTCTGGGAGACAGTGTATTTTATTAAATGTAATTTTTCATATTGAAGAAGAAAGGACTAAAATAACTTTAACGAGTGATCCCCAGAGGCGAGGATATTCTAGTCTTCGACAACTAGAATCAATCCTACTAACAATTAGACCTAAAATTCTTCAAAAATACATTTGTATTACCTCTCCTTCTCCATGTTATTCTATTAATCCCATATCAATGAAGGAGGTTGTATCATTTTTATCGTTTGTTTATAGCCAAGACAACGATTGTTTAAAACGTATAACATTATATCCTCCTCCTCCTCCTCTTCCTCCTTCTTCAAACTCCTCTCCTCTGCTGCTTTTATCCAATCCCGTAAAGTGGTTAATAATACTACCATTTATTACTTTAAGGTGTTCTGGTATGAAATTAGAGTATGTGTATTATTAATTAAAAATAAAATTTATTATACGAATTACTTTCTTTTTTTTCTTACATTATTTTTCGAGGTTTATTGAAAAAAACTAAATTACAAATTTAGGAAATATCTTTTCATCCATTAATAATTTACAAGTGATAGGTATTAATGGGTCAATTTTTTTTCATGCCTATGCTGTGTACCTAATGATGATGAGTCTGTGATAATTCAAGTAAATTAAAGTTCTTTTAAAATTAGTTATAATCGAAGCCATTGATAGGTTATAAATATTTGGGAAGTGATACAAAAACAACATTATTTTTATATAAATTAACTTTAATTAAAAGAACATATAGAAAAAAAACTTACTTAACCTGATAAATTTTCTTTATGTGTGAGACAAATTGTACACTGACTTGATAATGAATAAGGATTATCAAAACAGGAACAAAATGCCTTGGGAGCATTACATGGAATACACCATGGAATGAAATGATTATGACACCAGTTGGTAGACCACGGCGTATCATCTCCTCTAGTTTTTTTCCAGTCATATGTATCTGGTTTAACAATATACTTAACAGGCTTTGAATTCCCAAACTTATAACAATACCATATATCCTCATCTTCACCCAATCCATGTCGTATTCTCCAAGATTTAATAGTAGATTCTTTATCTAGTTTATTTAGATCTATATATTCGAGCAATTGGTTTAAAATACTCCCTTCTAATTTAGGTCGAATATAATATTCATTCATCCAATCAATGTCAAAATTTCCGAAGATTAAACTGTCTAAGATACGCAGTCTTAATTCAGGTTTTTCTTCTTCTCTAAAATCAGACAGCCAATCCATTTCTCCCTCATGAATAGATAGTAGATAGAAGGCTGCTTACTGTTTGAAATATATATATCCAGTCGCACGTTAAAAATTTTTCAATTTTTTTCTACGGTTACAGTGAATTTGACTGATGTTTCAGGGTTTTTCTCATTGTCAATACCCTTGGCCCACATATTGCAAGTAATTTCAACTGTGGTGTTAATTTCATCTTTTAGATTCAGCTGCAATGCAACTATAGGTTTCCGATAGCCTGTTAGGTTTGTATTGGAGAAGAAGGATTTTGGGAAACCAGGACCATAGTAGGAGTGAATTCCAAGTAATGTGCAAGACACCCATATAACCTCTTTCATGATATTATTATTGTAGTAAGTGATGTCTTTAATTTCGTTTTTAAGTCGATGGGGCATCTGGTTGGGTAATTCCTCAATGTCATCGTAAGGATCAAATTTAGTTGTTGTTGTAGTTGTTTTCCCATTGTAAGACAATATGATGCAAGGAGATGTTGTTTTGTAGTTCCAAACATTTTCTGGATTACATTCATGTCCCAGTATTATCTCTGGCAAAATACAGACTTGTGTAGCATTTGGTTCAACTCCTGGGGGACATGCAATCACCTGTGTATCATCAGCTTTGGTAGCATTATAGTAGTAGTCTTTTATAAACTGATTAAGAGAAGATATTTCCTCTTCATACGTGCTCTTCTGATTAGGATTAAACTTTATATTTCCTGAAGGTATGATAAACAAACCCTCTTTCTCTGCTGTCACAGCAGAGTTACATGTTACAAAAGTCACCACCACCACTATTAGACATACAACTATGAAACAACCACCACTTATTACAATTGTTGCTTTTTTGTTTGAAGAAGATATTTTCTCTTTAAGGTATAGATAACTTTTCCTTGGAGTTTCACTTGGCACTGTTATCATATTTCTAGACATGTTACCGTACCAAAACATCTTCTTCCTTTCCTTTTAGTCCAGATTGATACAGATAGGATTCCTAAATGTCAAAGTGTGTCTGTCCGGTCATATCGTTGTGCTCTTCTTTATATATAATGATGGTGGGTGGGTTGGACGGATGGACAGACAGACAGACAGACAGACAACTACCTGCCTCGGCCTCGAAAATAAAATTTAAAAATAAAATTTATTATACAAATATATATACTCCCGATTTCTTACTTCTCGAATTACTTTCTTTTTTTTTCTTATAACATGGGGGTACATCATTTTTCGAGGTTTATTGAAAAAACTTAAATTGAATTATCTGTGGACAAAAAGGAACATTTAATTACAAATTTAGGAAATATCTTTTCATCCATTAATAATTTACAAGTGATAGGTATTGATGGGTCAATGTTTTTTCATGCCTATGCTGTACCTAATGATGATGATAATAAATTATTGCCACAAACAGTTGTTGATATTGAGAAAACGAGTCATAAAGTCTGTAATATTATACTTAATTATATAAAAGTTATTATACATATTTTAAATAGTGGAGATGATTCTAATAATAATAGTGATAAAACAATTTTTTTTTATTTTGTTATGGATGGTCATTCGAATGTTGAAAAAAATAGGAAATTGTGTAGTGAGAAGAATAGAGATATTTTTTCAAAAATGACAATATCCCAAAAATTGGAATTGGAAAATTATACAACTGATTTATTAAAAAATATATATTTAAATAAAATAAATACATCATCTTACAACTTTAAATTGTATTCAACAGCTGGAATATCTTATTATGAAAGACTCGAAGGAGAAATTGTTCTCTATCGGTTTATTAATAAAACGTTTATTGAAAAAGAAATTTACAATAGTTTTTCTGTAATTATAAGTGGTGATTCTGATGTTACTGCTATGACTATTTTACGTAATGAATATAGACTCTTACTCATCCACCCTTCCTTCGGTACTAAGAATAGAAAATCAATTGGTTTAGGAAATTATAATTCAATGATAAAACATATGGGGTTCAATAGTGATCAATGTCTCCGATATTTAATTTTACATTTCATATTTTTTGGTAGTGACTATAATGTTGGTTTAGTTTCCTGTTGGACACCATCTAAAGGAGAAATTATTTTAAAATCTATAATGGAAAATGAAAATAATATTTTGAATATATATAAAAAATTTCGGAGAAATCGATCTTTAGGTGATGAGTCTGTGATAATTCAAGTATTTGGATGTACTGATGTAATTAAAGAACACCATTTTAATGTTCTTTTAAAATTAGTTATAATCGAAGCCATTGATAGTATAAAATATTATAAATATTTGGGAAGTGATACAAAAACGACATTATTATTATATAAATCAACTTTAATTAAAAGCTTACTAAAATATATGAGAATATAATATTGTTATTTTTTGAAACAAAATTGATAATGAATAAGGATTATTGAAACAGAAACAGGAACAAAATGCCTTTGAGTAGCTTACTGTTTGACATATATATCCAGTACGCACGTTAAAAAATTTTCAATTTTTTTCTACGGTTACAGTGAATTTGACTGATGTTTCAGGGTTTTTCTCGTTGTCAATACCCTTGGCCCACATATTGCAAGTAATTTCAACTGTGGTGTTAATTTCATTGCAAAAAATCAGCTTCAATGCAACTATAGGTTTCCGATAGCCTGGTAGGTTTGTATCGATGAAGGGAGCGTAGTAGTCGTCCATTCTACCGAATGTGCAAGACACCCATATAACCTCTGGCATGGTATTATTATTGAAGTACCAGAACTCTTTACTTATGTCTTTAAGTAGATTGGGCATCTGGCTGGGTAATTCCTCAATGTCATCGTAAGGATCAAATTTAGTTGTCCATTGTAAGACAATATGATGCAAGGAGCTATTGTGTTGTAGTTCCAAACATTTTCTGGAATACATCCAAGCTCTGGCAAAATACAGACTTGTGTAGCATTTGGTTCAAATCCTGGGGGACATGTAATCACCTGTGTATCATCAGCTTTGGTAGCATTGTTGTAGTAGTCTATAAAAAATTGATTTAGAGAAGATATTTCCTCTTCATATGTGCTCTTCTGATTAGGATTAAACTTTATATTTCCTGAAGGTATGACAAACAAACCCTCTTTCTCTGCTGTCACATCAGAGTTACATGTTACAAAAGTCACCACCACCACTATTAGGTACCGAAACATCTTCCTTTCTTCGTTTTAGTCGTCCAGATTGATACAGATAGGATTCCTAAATGTCAAAGTGTGTCTGTCCGGTTATATCGTTGTGCTCTTCTTTATATATAATGGTGGTGGGGTGGGTTGGACGGACAGACAGATGGAAGGACAGACAGACAGACAGACAGATAGATAGACAACTACCTGTCTTGCCTCGGCCTTGAATGTCCGGTCGGTCATATCGTTGTGCTAAAATAAATAATCTGAAAATTAAAATTATATTTTTTGTCAGTCGAAGTCGGTCGGTCGGTCGATTTATCTGTCCTTGTCCCATAATTTTTAGAACCCCCTATATATTATATAATTAATAAAAAATGGATGGAAATATGATATTATATATTATAACATTTGCACTAGCATTAGCTATTATTATAATAATAATTATAACTCAAAAACCTCTTTCTTTTTCTTTTCCACAATTACTCGAAGAAAAAAGTAAGGATTTAATAAGATATCTTACATATATTGACAATTTGATATCAGATATATCGGATAAAATTACAGAAGGAACAGATTATGATATAATGATTACTGGTCTATGTAATATAAGTGAAAAAATTAAAAAAAATTTAACTATAACAGACTCAACCATAATAGAAAATGTTAAATCATCATATTTAAGTTTATCTGATAAAATCAGTGATTTACAAAAAAGATTATTAATAAGCATATTTAAAATACAAACACTTGGCCTATTGTACGAATTGAATGAAAAAGCCCTAACTAAAGAAACAAAAAACAGAATTCAGTCTAGCTTATTGTATATAAATAATTTTAATATTATAATACCAGATTTAAATATAGCTGACGTATTATTAAGACGAGATAAACGTTTTTGTATAATGCAAATACTCAAAAAAGTATATAGATTAAAGCGAATAACAATAGAAAATTTAATTATAAGTAATGAGAATAAGGAGAGAAAAACAGTATTTAAGATATTCCGTATTAATTTACCTGCTAGGGGATACAATACGTTATATAATACATTTAGAAAATACAATGGATTAAAAAATGAAATTACATTTGACGATGACCAAATCAAAAACTTAAGCAGTAATATGTCTGCTTCACAAAAAACTATTGAATTGGTAGATACTACATTGTCCATTATAAAGAGTGTTGAATTGTTGGATAATAATGATAATATGGTATTATTTAGTGATGAAGAGATATCTTCAATAAATAAATGTAAGGAAGAAATATTCAAATATTTTTTAAATATAGACTACAAAGAGAAACTGATAGAGTGGTTATCTTCAAATTCTCACGAGGAAATAAAAAAGTGGCATAATTCTTAAGAGAATATAGAAAAGTGGTATAATGAATACTAAGCAGCAGGCAGCCAAAGGATAAAGGATACACACACTACTATTGTGGTGGTGGTGGACTCCATTTTAAAAAGTTATTTAAATTTTTCTCCATATCTATATTTTGATTAACGCACTTTGTTTTTCTTATTGTATTACTAAAATTATTTACGTGACTTTGAATCCATTCTTTAGCTTCTTGGGTTTTGAAATCAATCTGTTTATTTTCGTACATTATAGTAACATTAATTCCATTATCAAATTCCCAAATAATATTTTCCGGTAAAGCAAAACTCAATAGTAATGCCTGTGCTTTCAATAGTGATATATTTCTAGCATTACGTAAAATATTATGTTCTTCTTCTCTGTTTGTAATGTGATTAGTTTTTATTAAATTTGTATATATTTTATCGTAATCAGTTGAAAAGCTTCTTATTAAACTGAGAGTTAAACGATTAATTTGACTATTTAGACGGGTACAGGAAAGATTTTTGGGGGAAAGACGCTTATTGGTGGTATTGGTGTAAAATCGTCTATGGTCAGAGCATAACAGGTTTGTCACATTTGGTCGAATTTCATTTGAATAAAAATTCATAACATTTAATTTTTTATCAAATCCAATAATAAAGTTTTTGGAAATTAACTGACATACATTATTGTAACTTCTACAGAAAATGCTGTTTCTCTTTTTTAATTGTAAAGTTTTAATGTTCTTGTATACAGACGACATTTCCCAATTATCCAAATAATTCACTTCTAAATTAATCTCCTCCCCAAAACCGAAAATGGAAGTATTTTTTATATTGCAAACTATAAGCGATCGTAAATTGGACAGTTGACGTAGTATTTTATTGTCACCGTACACCCAAGCACAAATAATATCATATTTATAAGTTAATTTTTCAATATCAGAATTGAACTCCCTTATACTATTTTCATATTCATCACTAGAAGCCGTCGCTGGTATAGAATAGTGCAACTCATCATCGCCGTCGTTTACAATGTTAAAATTTTTATCAACAATTGCAACAGATGCCTCTGTTAATATATGATTCACAGACAAAATGTCATTGTCTCTGTCTCTATTAATTATTTTATTATAATTTATAGAAATTACCATGTAATAATTATAATTATTTGTTGTACTAATACTAGAATTAGAATTAGTTGTTATTGACATGTTGTTTTCACTTTCATAAACCTCCTCATCAAATGAACTCATTGTAGCTATTTTGTAAATAATTTCTAAACTTTATTTTTATATACTGTAAATAAGAAAAAAAATAAAAAATTGAATTATAAGCTGTTGCCGTCAAATTATTCAATGGTTAATGACATAAATAGAATATTTGAATTAAATAAAATACAAAAAATTAATGAAACACTTCTTCAACTTTATTCTAATAATAATAGTAATAATAACTATAATACGTACAATTTTAGAGTGGTCATGTCAGTTTATACTACCAACACAGATAATGATGTAATTATTAATCAATTTATACCTCCGACAACATTTTCCCTACAGTTAAGACAAAAAATATTATCTCCCCAAAACATACTTTGTAATTTTCTAATAGGAAAAAAAGATACATACAATTTATTTCATAAGTTTCAACAAAAAATTGGTGAACATAAAGATGGAATAACAGTAATTGCGAATTTAGTTACTCCAAATTTTAATACTGGTTTATGGATTGATAAAGCTAACTTAAAATTTATTGGTGAATTAATAGCTAATTTTTCCTTAAATATTACGCAAATGAGAAATATAATAAATAAAATGTTTATCTATAACAATAGAGTTATTAATAATCCTACAGAATTTTTAGAAATTGTAAAAAGTGAACCTCAATTATTTGATTTCTGTTCATACATCTCTCAAGACAATCTATTTTCTCCATATAATGTATATATTACTAAAACATTACAGTTGTGTGATTATAATACTTTTTTATAATTTAAAAAATGAAAGCTATTAAAGAATTTGAACTGGTTCTAAAACCGTTAGTTTTTCCGAGAGAAATTAAACCCTTTGTTAGTATTTATAAAAAGAATATAACGACAGGACTCCGACAACTTAAAGAGAGTATAAATTTACAACCCTTAAAAACAAAAGAAGGGATATTGTTTAAAACAGAAGTTTTAAATAAACTTGAAAACTCTACAAATTTTCAAAGATCTCTTCAAGAGATACTTATGGGAGATATTACAAATAATTCTGCCAGAGAGCATATTATATTAAATTATCCTCACAACACATATTCAAAATATATTCAAAATTGTAACAAAATGGCTCAAGATTTGGGTTTTAAAAATGAAATTGAATTTAGGGATTTTATAGATAATTTTAAATCATCACTTCTAGAAAAAAGTAAATTGAATAAAATTTTTAAAACCTTTAAAGAGTGGGCTGCTAAAAATCCAGGGAGTATTTTAAAATCGCTTTTAGTCGTTGCAGTTGCCAGCACCTTTATAGATTTTCTACGACATTATAATGCTCTTAATACAGGATGTTTTCGATACGAAGTAAATACACAACAAAAAGGTATTCTCAAATATGTATATATAGATAGATATTGTGATAATAATGGAGGAAATTGGAATAAATACACAAGAGGCATATACATTCTTCCTCCAGATAGTCATCCTCTGTCGAAAACTAACGCTTGGGATTGCTCATTTCAACCTAGTACATTTTTACGAACAAAAGATACAGAAGGTATTCTTAATATGGGATGTAAAGGAATTTGTGATCCTTATAATTATAATTCATTATCTTCATGGGTTCCTGGTTACGATCAATGGGAGGAACCTTCGTCATCATCATCCTCTCCAAATTTCATGTACCGTTGTGAAAAGGGTACGATTTTACGTTCATTGGGTGAAATGACAGGAGATACTCTAAGCCAAATAGGTCATGGTCTTCTTCAATCATCTTTATGGACTGATATTCCCCCCCAAAAAATTTTGTTTTGTGGATTTTTTATCCTTATAATTATATTTTTTTATGTACTATATTTATTAAAATGTTTGTTTGTTAAAAATTAATGGGGGGGTGGATATAATCGTCTTCTATAGGGTACACATTTAATTTGTACCTCACCATCATTTTCACCATCATTTTCATTATCATCCTCAACATCGTCGTCGACATCGTCGTCGTTGTCATCGTCATTTATCTCATCATCTTCATCATTTATCTCATCATCATCATCATCTTCACTATCAACATATGATGAAGTAAATTTCTGTTTACTCCTGTGTATACCAGAAGCAGAAGAAAATTTACTACGCTGTTTTCGGGATGTTTTCGGGATAATTTTAACGTTATTATTTAATATTCCTTTCTTGTACTGGTTTTTATAGGCATACAAAAAATCTTCACCATATTTTCCAGTATAAGAATTAATTTCTTTTTGAGTTAAGTTAGGTCTTATATATGCAAAATATTGTTGTATCGTAGGAATTGTATAAGAGGAGAGTTTTGAAATCCATACTTCAATAAAAACGGATAAAACTCTTAGATGTAAATCTTCTACATCTTTCTTCCGAAAAATCTTTATGTCCTCATTACAAATCTTTGTATTTTTTAAATTGGATAAAATTTGCTTCATTATTTTGGTATTAAATTGTGGTGGTTTAGTATTTGGGATC